GGCTCGCGAAATCTCCCCCTCTGCGCACGCCCCGTGGCGAGCGAGCCCGGCCCCGGCCCCGGCCCCGGAGCGTGCGCTTGGCCGGCGGCTCAGGCCCGCGAGACGCCGGTGTGCAAAGCGCGGCGGAGCTGCCCGTCCTGCCGTCGTGCGCAATAAGCCCGAGGTGAAGCGGGCCGGGCCCGGCCCACGCGACGCCTTACTGCCGTCTTAAATAAAAACCGCCCGGTTCTGCTAAGCGGGACAGCTGCTGTGTTAGCGGAGAGGACGCCGCGGCTGCGCCTGCCCCGCTGCGGGACCTCGGGCACTTCCACGCTCCCGCGTGTACCTGCCCGGGGGGAGCAGCTGGGAGCAGATGCAGAGGGCGGTGATGGTGCAACTAACTGTCCCAGGCGGTTTTACCCGCCTGTCTCGCTGGCAGGTGCTGCTTCGCATCAGCACCCGGGGATCCTCCATTAGCATTTTTGGTGGAGCCCGCCCGGCCGGCCGGATGGATGGATGGCTGCATTTATTTTTTTTTTTTACACGACGCTGTTTTCCTCCCAGGGACACTTCTTTGATATGCAGTTCGCGACGATGAGAGCAAGCGCGGTCTGCTCTCGGCGGCACTAAGGCTACGCATCTGAATAAGAAAAGGCAGGGAGCGCTTAACGCTCATTTGTATGAAGAAGGATCCAAAAAATAAAAATTAAAAAAAAAAAAACCACACACAAAAAATCCCACAGTGCCCCCTGCAAGCCTCTGGGGCGATGCCGGGGGCTGGGAGTCCCGGCGAGAGGCTGGAGAGTTTCTTTCCCCTCAACTTCGTTTGCGCCCAGAGAAGTGGAGAACAAGCCCGACGCGGTGTCGGCGGCTCCGCAGGACGTGCGGGGTCTTATCCGGGCCCCAACTGCTCGGCTCGTCTCGGCCGCCAAGAAGCAAAATAAAACAAACAAAAAAACCAAACAAACTTTGATATGTTTAAAGGGAAAAAAATTTAAATGTCGGGATTTAAAAAAAAACGAGAGAGACGCAAGAGCCGCCGCGAGCGAGCGAGCAAAGCAGGAGCTCGGATGAGAAGGTGGCTTGAGCCAGACGCCACACGAAGCCCCCCACGAGAGACGAGCCGGTGTAAGGAGGCGGAAACGCTGAGGGCTGGAAAGCGAACCGCCCCGACGGCCCCGGAGCGCGCGCGGGGCCTGAAGTGCGGTGGTTTCTAGGGGGTGAAGCCCCCGCTACGCCAGGGCCGCTTTGCAGCCCCCCACGCCCTGGCACAGCCCGGGCTGCTCGTCGTTTGCTTGGGCTCGAAAGCAAACGCCGGTCCCGGAGGGCGGCCGCGGCCATAGCACGAGGGGTCCCGGCCGCGCGAGAGGAGCTGGCGCAGGGCTGACATCCGACGGGGCGGAGGCGCTCCCACCTGCCGGGGGCCGGGGCCCGGGGGCATGGCGGTGCCGGACACTGCCGAGCCGGAGGAGCACGGCTCCCCGCGCTAGGATGCGCGGGGCGGGGCGGGCCGAGAGGGCCCCAGCTCCG